AGCTGCCCTCACTGAGGACCACTGCCTTAGGAACTGACAGAGTCCTGCTTTGTTGGAGTGAGACTATTTTCATGATGATTCTGTAGAACTGAAAAAAGCACATACTCTTCAATTATTTGCAGGCATTTAGCCTGTAAAGCTGAATCTGTTATTTTTAAAGTATCCCTATACTTTGCAAATGCACTTGAAACAACAAATTGGACACTCAGAATGATCATTCAGTTCAAGCAATCATTCAAACATAATTTATTAACTTGCTTCAAACTGTATATACTTTACAAAACGTTTTCATGTAAATTATCAAAACTTCATGTCAATAATTTGCTAAAACAGTAATAGTAGACCTTTTGACCCTCAGCTGTTAGTCTTATAACTGTTAACATAACACCATATTTGGTACTATCAGCATTTTTACATTGACGTCCCTCATTTGATAACATCCTGGTAGAGCTGGGAAGCTGCCATCCCCTTCGTATCGAATATGAGGAAACTGAGGCTCAGAGGGGTTATAAGTGTGAGGTGCCAGTTCCAGAGCGAGAACAAAGAATGAAACCCATGCGATTCCTGATCAAAGGCAGTCTCCCTACACCATGCTAGCTTCTCACACACGCTCCCAGCTCCCGCATTTCAGGGGCAGAAGGAGGGTTTGTTTTTACATCTTTCCCTCTCTCTTTCCTACCAGCTGACCTAGTTTCTCTCATGGATGTTGCAGGGGGAGAGAGGAAAAGAGGACACAGAAAATACCATGGGGCTTATGGTCCTAGTTTCAAGTCCCCACTCTTTCCCATTCAGTGACATCATCTTAGGTATGACAGCCCTGAGTTTCTCTTTCATCATCTATAAAAGTTCGATTCATGTGGTTGTTTGTGAGAATTTGAAGGCAATCAGGCTGGTAGATTTTACATGTTAAAAAAAAAAATAGGTAGGGCTTGGCGGCTCATACCTGTAATCCCAGCACTTTGGGAAGCTGAGGCGGGCGGATCACCTGAAGTCGGGAGTTCGAGACCAACTTGGAGAAACCCTGTCTCTTCTAAAAATACAAAATTAGCTGGGCATGTTGGCACATGCCTGTAATCCCAGCTACTCAGGAGGCCGAGACAGGAGGATTGCTTGAACCCCAGAGGTGGAGGCTGCAGTGAGCCGAGATCACGACATCGCACTCCAACATGGGCAACAAGAGCAAAACTCTGTCTCAAAAAATAAAAACAAAAACAAAACAAAACAGACAAAAAAAGATAAATTTCACATTTGAAAAATTAAATACAAATTACAAAGTACACTGATTAAGCAACTGATAAAAGATGAACTGCAAATGTCCAGTATATTTTTTTAATATTTAAGGTCATTAGTAATTGACAAGGTAGAAATTATTTTAATAGTTTAACATCAAATTGTATTACCTTTAAGATGCTAAAGTTGAATCTACTACATATTCTTTCTCCTTTTTCTTCCATCAGTTGACTACAGAGGACGAAGCCCAAGAAATGAAGTAGCCACATTATGGAAAAAGCCTGGATTCCTGCATGACTGTGTGGAGCAGAAACTCCTACTCACCCTGCTGAGCCATGATGTAACAAGAAACAAAACCTTCTTGATTTAAGCCAGTGAGATAATACAGATCTCTGTGACTGAGTAATGTTACATGGCTTCAATGTCCAAATTGACATTTTTATTCGGAATCCCAATATTGTCAAAGATGTTCTAAAGCATTCTCTCAGCGTCAGTAGAATTCTCTTTAGTAGAATTCTCGGTAGAATTCTCTTTAGTCTGTCAGTGTAATAAAGATTTCAAATTAGTTACAAAATTTCCAAAATTTTATTAAAAATCTGAACCTCCAGTCTTCTGAAAAAAAAAAAAAAAAAAAAAAAAAAAAGGCACTGCAGGGCTTATATTCCTCTCTTACGAAGTGACTGAAGGTGAGTTATCGGCAGTCTCTAAAATACTAAATTTCCCACCTGCTCCACGGGGCCACCCTTTTGCACTGGTGCTACCTTCTTTTCCTTCCAGTTGTGTGACATCCACCACAGACTGACAGTGAATAATTACTAATTCAGGATTTTCCACACGAGCAACTTGAGAAACCTTACTGGTATATCAAAATATTGTTTTGCGTTTTAGAAGATGTCCATGTTTGTCACGTTTAGGAAATATAGATTTCATTCTTTATTCATCTCTTTTCCATGTCTGCATTTCTGAACACTGGCTTGTTCAAAAGCAAGGAATTACTCAGCTGTTCAAGTTATTTTTCTAAGAGATGTTTCACTAAAGTACAGGCCTATAACACGTCTTTCCTTTTTATCTTGTGTGGCAAGATAGAAAAAACAAACCAACAACAAACTATCCAGGACTAGTATCTAACAAAGGAATCATTTGTATTAAGGTTACAAATATTCTCCATCTCTCATCCAATGAAACCTCTATTAAGGGTTCTCTTGAAGCATAAAATCTATCTCATTATTAACTGTTTTTAGAAATGATTTCCCTAGGGTGTCAACTTAGAACAATTTTCCTTATCAAAACCTACTTCTATTTATCATTCAACAATCCAATTACTGTCCTTCCACACTAATGATTTTTTAGGTTGTGTTTTCCTTTCAGAGATAGTAGTGTAGTCTACAGTGTATTTTATTTCATGGGTGGCATCCTTGGGGGCAGAAGAATAAGATTTCCTTGGAAATGTTCAGGCTCCTTATTTAGGGTCTCCTGATTTCTCAGATTGGCTCTTTAATTAAAACCTAAATTTGGCCAAGCTTGATGGCTCACGCCTGTAATCCCAACACTTTGGGAGGCCACGGTGGATGGATCACTTGAGTTCAGGAGTTCAAGACCAGCCTAGGCAACATGGCGAAACCCCATCTCTACTAAAAATAAAAAAAAAAAACCCAGCTGGGTATTGGCGGCACATGCCTATAAGTCCCAGCTACTCAGGAGGCTGAGGCAGGAGAATTGTTTGAACCCAGGAGGTGGAGGTTGCAGTGAGCTGAGATTGCGCCACTGCACAGCATCCTGGGTGACAGATTGAGACTCCATCACAAAACAAAACAAACAAAACCTGCATTTCATTCTCTCTCTTACCCTGGCCATTTTTTTACTCCTGTCTTCCTTCTTTACTTTCTTCAAACCTTTTTTCAACATCTTACTGTGTTTTCTAAGAACCACATTGTGCTACGGTAAACAATATGTGGTTCTAACTGTATAGAATATTAAAATTAGGTCTCTTTCCTTAGCAAGGGAAAAGAAAGTCACATTATTTCTAGATAGAAGAGAGGGAATTTATTGGTTACAAAACAAGCATCCAGGGTTCATTTGAGTTTCAGGTGGACCTGGTTTATCTTTTTACATGTCAGTTTAGTTGTCTGTTGTGTCAAATCCAAGGCACACTTCTTTTGTGAAGGCAGTCAGGGCAGCTGTAGTTCCTCTAATCTTAAGTCTAGCAGAGATGGAAGTTATTATTCCCCCCAGAGGTCCTATACATCCAGGGTGTGCAGGAGAGAGTTAACACAACTGTGCCAAGCCTGCTGCCCTTGGAATAGTCCATTTACAAGGTTGGCACTCTGCTGCCATTTCAGAACTTGGATTTCAAGAGGGTTCCCACCATTCCCTGACAAGAATGGCTTATTGCATCAAGATTATTTATTCAAACAATGCGGCTTATGGTGACCCCCTGCTTTTTGGGGGGAAGTGTAGAATTTTGGTATGTGCCAGACAGAGACTGCCAATGTGACCAGCCCTCAATGGAAACTCCAGGTACAGATTCTCTGATGAGCTTCCCTGAAAGACAGCATTTCAGACATGCTGAGACATGTTCTATGGGGAATTGAGTGTTTTCCATGCAGCTCCACTGGAAGAGGACTCTGCAAGTTGGTACCTGGCTTCCTCCTGACTTTGTCTCATCCACATTTTCCATTTGCTAATTATGCTTTGCTTTTTAGACAATAAATCATAATCAGAAGTTGATTCTATGCTGAGTCCTGTGAATTCTCCTTTTAAATTACTGAACCTGGTAGTGGTCATGGGGACCATGACACATTGGGCTTCACTCTAATTGCAAATAGATCATGGGCAGGTCTAACAGCTTCCACGTCCCTTAGGCCCTCAGCTGATGGCCTGCGCCCCTAGAGCAGGAAGTGTGTACAGTTAGTTTCATATTAGCTGGGCACTTGGATATTGGTGTGTAATTGTCCTCAGGCTGATACAAGTGGTATGCAGAGACGTTGCTGGGTGTGAAGACCCAGAAAAGTAGTTGGCTGATGGCAGTGTTTGCAAATACGTCACATGATTAATTATGTTTTAAGGTATGCTCGGGTGCTTAGGTTGGGGAAATCAGAATCTTGATCAATTCCACTCAGCACATCCTCAGTACTGACAGGACCGCATCCTGGACAGACAGAATGCCATCATCATTAACCTCGAGGACATGCGATTGTCAAATAAACCTTCCCACCAAACACAGGCACCTGGACGTCTTTGGAAATATGTGTATGCTGTGTGAGGCCATGACAGTGCTCCAATATTTATATGTCAGGGCGATACTCTCCCCAAGCCCCCAATCCTCTATTCTGGTTTTCACAATCACATGTGCATTCATGAACACATTTCTATGACCAGACATGAGTGAAACTCTCAAAGGGATTCTGTGCACTGATTGGCTAGGCCTGAGTCACAGGGTCCACATGAAACCTGGTGTGATGTCACCTTGTTATCCTACAGAGCACATGGCCTGAGACTAGGGTGGGGGTCTGATTTCTCTAAAGATATTCAGGAAGCTGTGAGATTATAAAGGAGGGTGAGAGATGAGGTGTCAATATCTTAATGCACGTTGACTTGTATGGAGCCTTTTACCTGTGTAGATAGTAAATAAATAATTGTAATACCAACCTTATAAGTGTTGCAGTTAAGATTCCAAATTATTTATTGGCCAGCATGTGCTGGCTCACGCCTGTAATTCCAGCACTTTAGGAGGCCGAGGCAGGCAGATCACCCGAGGTCAGGAGTTCAAGACCAGCCTGGCCAACATGGTGAAACCCTGTCTCTACTAAAAATACAAAAATTAGCTGGGCATGGTGGCACATGTCTGTAATCCCAGCTACTTGGGAGGCTGAGGTAGGAGAATCGCTTGAATGTGGGAGGTGGAGGTTGCAGTGAGCTGAGACCACGCCACTGCACTCCAGCCTGGGTGACAGAGCAAAACTCCTTCTCAAAAAAAATGATCTAAGTCATTTATGAAAATGGCAGAGGGAGAGATTTCTCTGGGACATCAAGGAAGGCTTCCCAGAAAGGAATGGATGAGCTGAGTCTGGATGGATGACTAGGAGTAGCCAGGTAAGGGAGGTGAAGGCTGTGGGAAAGGTATTTTTGTTTGCACTGAGCTTGGAGTGACAGAATCCATAATGGGAAGTGGCTTAAACACCAATGCCAATGATGCTCAAGAGAACACGTCAGAGGAAGGGGATTTTTCGGAACTGTTAGTTGCTCAGCTATGTCCTCAGGCAGTTAGGGTCTTTCTTTTTATTCCATTTCTATCAGTCTGGGGCTGCACTTTCAGATTTTCTCTCCATGGTGCAAGAGGCAGCTCCAGACAGCAGCACATCTCACATATCACAAAGGAGGGGGTTTGAAGATGAAAAATTTCACACAAGCATTTCTTTTTATCAGGGAGTATTTTTTCTTCCCCCAGAAGCTTCTGGCAAACATCTTACGTCTTATTCACCAAAAACTAGGTCAATGTGGCTACCTGTGATTGCTAGAGAGGCTGAGAAAACAAACATGTGATTTTCTTAAGAATGAGGGGGACCTGGGCTCTGCCTACAAGAAAGATAGTCACTGGAGCTGGGCGCGGTGGCTCACGCCTGTAATCCCAGCACTTTGGGAGGCCAAGGCAGGCAGATCACTAGGCCAGGAGTTCGAGACAAGCCTGACCAACAAGGTGAAACCCCGTCTCTATTAAAAATACAAAAATTAGCTGGGAGTGGTGGCACATGCCTGTGATCCCAGCTACTCAGGAAGCTGAGATAGGATTGTTTGAACCCAGGAGGCAGAGGTTGCAGTGAGCAGAGATCACACCACTGCACTCCAGCCTGGGCCACAGAGCAAGACTGCCTCAAGGAAAAAAAAAAAAAAGAGATAGTCACTGGAATAGCATCTGTCCCAGCAATTCAAAGAGAAAGAAAGACAGGGAAAGAGCTATAGAGAGGGAGGAAGAGGGCAATGGGGAAAAAGAGAGATGGGGAGAGACAGACATAGAGAAGGAGAAGAGAAAGGGAGAGAAAATGGAAGGAGAGAAGGGAGCAAGAGGGAGAGAGGAAGGGGGAAGAAAGAAGAGAAAAGGAGGGAAGGGGGAAGAGACAGAGAGAGACAGAGCTGGGGAAGAGTTAGGAGAGAAAGGGAGGAAGGGGAGAGAGAGAGGGAGCGAGGGCTAGAAAGAGGAGAGGAGCATAGAGGGGGAGAGAGGGAAGGAGGGGGACCGAGAAGAAAGAGGAGAAAGAGAAAGGGGATGGAAAAGGGAGGAAGAGAAGAAGAGAGAGGAGAGATGGGAGATGGAAGCGGGGAGAGAGAGAGAGAGATCAAGCTGGAAATGAAAATGCACGTTAGTGCCACAGCATTAGGGCACTTGGATGCCAGGCTGCAGAGCGGGTGCAGCATTTCCAGAGAAGAGGTAACATGGATATGACTCTATAGACATCTGGACATGTTCCCACATCACTGGTGTGTTCAAATCGTTTGCAGCTATTGCCTAGAAATAACATCAGTAATGCTGCGTGTCTGCGTCTCCACACCCATGTATGTCTTATGTGCAAATATGTGTCTCTATGTGTGTGCATTTGTATGCACACATATGTGAAGAGTCTGCTAAGAATCTGTATTGCCAAGAAAAAAATGCAGAAAAGAAAAACAGGCATGGTTAGGAGCCAGTTTCTTTGAAAATCAAAATGATTCCTGTACATATCTAGAAAATTCAAATAATCTGAAAACCTTGTTTAAAGAAAAAGGTAACAAAAACCTGAACTACAAAGCAGCTGCCCACCCATTACACATTTCCCCTAGACCAGAGGCAATTCTGTACTACTTTTTTTTTTTCCATTTATTTGATTGCATTTTAGGTTTTGAGGTACACGTGAAGAACATGCAAGATTGTTGCATAGGTACACATGTGGCAGTGTGATTTGCTGCCTTCCTCCCCATCACCTACATCTGGCATCTCTCCCCTTGCTATCTCTCCCAAACTCCCCACCCCCCACCGTCCCTCCCCTATTTCCCCCCAACTGAAAACGATGAGTTTGTGTCCTTTGTAGGGACATGGATGAACCCGGAAATCATCATTCTCAGCAAACTGACACAAGAGCAGAAGATCAAACACCGCATGTTCTCACTCATAGGCGGGTGTTGAACAGTGAGAACACATGGACACAGGGAGGGGAGCACTACACACTACTTTTCTTTTTTAAATATTAATCTCTACAGCTCAAAACAGTATCCTTATTTTTACATGTTTTGATTCCTTGCTAAAACAGCAAAAAACAGTTTTTCTTCTTTAAGAGTTCCTTTTCCTTCAGGGTTGCTTTACTCTTTCTGGTTTCTTGGTTTTTTGTTTGTTTTATTTTGGAGACAGAGTCTCACTCTGTAGCCCAGGCTGGAGTGCCATGGCAGGGTCATACTCACTGCAGCCTTGACCTCCTGAGCTCAAGCAATCCTGCCACCTCAGCCTGCCAAGTAGCTGGAACTACAGGTGCATGCCACTATGCCCAGCTGATTATTTTATTGTTATTATTTTTAGTAGAGTTGAGGGCTTGCTATGTTGCCCAGGCTGGTCTCAAACTCCTGAGCTCAAAGCTGTCCTCCTGCCTCGGTCTCTCAACATGAGCTTACTTGTTTTATTTTTTTGTTTGGATACTCTTTTGAGCTGTAGAGATTAATATTTAAAAAAGAAAAGTAGTAAAGAACCATTGCCTCTGGTCTAGGGGAAATGTGTAATGGGTGAGCGGCTGCTTTGTACTTCAGGATTTTGTTGCCTTTTCTTTAAATAAGCTTTCAGATTATTTGAATTTTCTAGATATGTACAGGAATCATTTTTGTTTGGTGTCACTTACGTTGAAGGGTGTCCTCGTGTGTGGTGGCCTTTGTTGCTCGTCTGTATCAGAAAGGGGGAACTGTGCAGCAGAGCCTGCAGCTGGTTGCTGGGGCTGATCCTTATAAGGTGATCTGCTGGGATGTTTTATTTCTGAAGCCCTGATGCCAGTTGCTTTAGGCATTCTGCCTGCCTTGGTCAAATACTTCAGAGAAGGAGCGTCCGGTTTCCTGTGAGGAGAGTCTCCACCTGCCATCATCACCTGGAGCACGGCTGAGGAGAAGGCTGTGTGTCCCAGGGTTCACTGCATCTTGCATCTGCTCAGGATGGGACCCTCATTTCCAACTGTGCTGGAGACTTTCTGTTTCGCCGTTTGCAGAGAAGAATCCAGCATCCGTGAGGGCATGTATCTGTTCTAAGCAGGAAACGCGTGAGGGGAAAAGAAATGACATACATACAATACCTTTAAGGGTAAAAGCTTTTATCCCAAGTTAAGGCAGTACAGATATAATAAGCAAACTGCAATGGGAAGGGGAGAAGGGAAAAAAATATGTATATATGTACATATATATCTTTTACTATACGATATTTTATATATTATATACAATTATACATTTATTTTCTATATAAATAGATACAATATATATTATACATATATATTTATAGATATATAAATGTATATTTATAAAATATGTATATATAAATATACATTTTTATGTGTATAAATATATATACATATACATATATAAATATATACATATAAATATGTATATATAAATATACATATTTTATACATGTATAAATATATACATATACATATTTATACATGTATAAATATATATACATATACATATATAAATATATACATATAAATATACATGTATATATAAATATATTTTTAAATACATATATGTATGTATTTATATTTATAAATATATTCATATACATATATATAAATATGAATATATTTCTGTATTTATAACTACATGTATATATTTATATGTACACATATACACTTGTGTCATATATATGTATATTTATTTACAGTCACCAGCCTATGGAGGATTCACCACCAGACTGGGAAGCAATAGTCTGGACTCCGAGTCAGCCAGTCACCTGTGCAGACGAGGAGAGGTCTCATGGAGTTTCGGCGCAGTCTGGGACCCCAGCTTTCTTTGCAACAAGTTGTTTGGCATGAGGCCCAGTCACGAGGGCCCTTCGAGACTTGACTCAAGGAACACGAAAAGATCAACGTGTTTTTGTGACTGTCTGTTGTTTCTCAATAACTGACTTAATGGAACAGATTGAAATAGAGATTTTTCCAAAACAGCGCTGGATGAACACCTCAAGGGGCTCACACAACCTGCTTCTGGACTTGGTGACCATTGTTTGTGTCCATGTTCAACTGAGTTCAAATTTAATATTCAGCTTTCCCTCCACACTATCCATGTGCGTGGAACTGGGTAAGGAGCCAAACTCTGCAGAATAAATGTGATTGTGTTTTAACGCCCCTCCCTCCCCATTGGTACAGGATTTAACTTGCTGGGAGTCTCACTCCCAACGCCAATTTCTCGTTTGTTTTTTATTACATCCTCTGCTTTTCCCCTTGTCTCTTGGGTTTATGATGTACAAACAATCAATATTTGTATTTTAGTAGTGTTTGGGAAAAAGTAGGGGGTATAATTTGACATCTTTACTAAACGCTGATTCACTGATCTTTTTACAATTTCATTTGAATAATTTAATGTTATGCAGACCACATTGTAATGGGCTACACAATGTCAGCTTTTAATTTATTTCATCCCATATGATTATTATCAATTTCTTGATTATTCCATTAGAATGTTTTCACAGCTTTTAGTGTCTTCTTATTGCCAGTAAAACAGATAAAAATTCAGCACCCAGGGGTCAAGATGACAAAATCAACTCCTTTCCTTTCTTTGTTTTTTTCC